ACGCCTTACCATTGGGCCAACCGGCCTTTGTTGAAAGCAGGCCCAAACGTTGCGTACATATACTATGACGGCAGCGGGTCATTCTGCTCCGACCACCTCCGACGAGCTGGAAGACCTGAAAACCTGCCGTGACTCGCTTGGCGCGGTTGCATCGGCAGGGCAGGGCAGGGCAGGGAAAGGGTGGACAGGGCACAAGGCGAGCCCGGGAAAATGCCGAAGCTGTCCTACCGATTGCCCCTTCTCTTCCACCCCCACCTAGACCTCTTGCTTTGCTCGTCCCACAAACACCCTCCAAGATGACGTCGACCGCCGCCAAGATCCTCAAGAATGCCACTTCGGGCGTGCTGCGCCTGGGCATGATGCCCGCGGACGGCATTGGACGCGAGGTGCTCCCTTGCGCCCAGCGTGTGCTCCAGAACACGCCCGGCGCACCCAAGTTCGAGTTTGTGCACCTCGACGCTGGCTTCGAGCACTTCCAGAAGACCGGCTCGGCGCTTCCGGAGGAGACCGTGCGTGCACTCAAGGACGACTGCCACGGAGCCATGTTCGGCTCCGTCTCGAGCCCGTCGCACAAGGTCGAGGGCTACAGCTCGCCCATCGTCAAGCTCAGGAAGGAGCTCGACCTGTACGCCAACATCCGCCCCGTCATCGGCGTGCGCGGCACCAAGGACGACGACAAGTTCATCGACAGCGTCATCATCCGCGAGAACACCGAGTGTCTGGTAAGTAGCCCCTCCAACAACGCTCCGACCCACCGAATAGCAAAGAAGAGACGCTGACGTGAAACGGTCCCTCCTGAACGCTTCCACACGAGCAGTACATCAAGTCCGAGACGAGCGAGAGCGGTCCGGACGGTCAGATTGCGCGCGCCATTCGCCAGATCACCGAGAAGGCCTCGACGCGCATCGGCAAGAAGGCGTTTGAGGTTGCGATTGCGCGCAAGGAGCTGCGCAAGGTGAACCAGCCGTCGTACGAGCCTACCGTGACGATCTGCCACAAGTCCAACGTGCTGAGCGTCACCGACGGTCTCTTCCGCACCTCGGTGCGCGGCGTGTACGAGAAGGACCAGAAGGCCAACGGTGGCGCCGGCCGATACGAGGGCGTCAAGCTCAACGAGCAGCTCGTCGACTCCATGGTCTACCGCCTCTTCCGCGAGCCCGAGGTGTTTGACGTGGTTGTGGCGCCCAACCTCTACGGCGACATTGTCTCGGATGCTGCCGCCGCCCTTGTGGGCTCCCTTGGCCTCGTCCCCTCCGTCAACGCCGGCGACAACTTCTTCATGGTAAGCACCATCCTCCTTCTCCTCACCTCCAGCTCAAAGCACCAACTAACATTTTGCCGCGCCTCTTCTCTTTCTACCTGTGCTGTTCATTGCAGGGCGAGCCGGTCCACGGTTCGGCACCCGATATCGCGGGCCAGGGCAAGGCGAACCCAATCGCCTCGATCCGCTCCGCTGCGCTCATGCTCGAATACATGGGCTACACCGAGCCTGCGCTCAAGATCTACACGGCCGTCGACCAGGTCATCCGCGAGGGCAAGTACCTCACCCCTGACCTCGGCGGATCCGCCACCACCACCCAGTGCGAAGAGGCCATCCTCAACAAGATCAACGCCTAGATCGCCACTCAGCCCTGAGACACCAAATTGTCTCTTCGCCTTGTGTCTTCCATCTGTGAAATCAAAAGCATGCCCATCTCACTCATCGCGCTTCAGGATCCCAATGTCCGAACGCGACTTGGCAAGTGCTGAGCTGTAAACTGCCTTTCCTGGCCTGGAGTCGGATGCAAATGAATGTTGGGCATTGTAAAGAGGGGAAGAACGTGACGCGATGACTGTGCTCGCTTCAACGAGAGGCAGGGTGCAATCTTTATTTACAGGCCAAGTCGGGAGAAAGCTGATCTTGGCGAGAGGGGAAGACCTACTTGCGGATGGCGTAAGCGGTCTGGCGATCGGAGCCGGCCTGGCCGCGCTCGGTCAAGCCGAGACCGTATCGGCGCAGCCTGATGGCCTGGACGGTGATGAAGCCGCTGGTGGCAGCAGAGTCGAAGCCACCCTGCTCGTCCATGGAGGTGAACTTCTCGTCGTACAGGAGCTCCTCGGAGCTGCGGCCCTCGACGATGACGTTGCCCTTGTAGAGCTTGAGCTTGACCTGACCGTTGACAGTCTTTTGCGACTGCGGGATGCAGGATCGGACAAACTCGCACTCGGGCGAGAAGAAGAAGCCGTAATAGAGCTGCTCGGAGAACTTGGTGGTGATGACCTGGTCGCGGATTCGGCGCACCTCACGGTCGAGCGTGAGGCCCTCGAGGTCGAGATGGGCGGCACGCAGGATGGTGGCACCGGGCGACTCGTAGCAGCCGCGCGACTTGACGCCGATGAAGCGGTTCTCGACAATGTCGATGCGGCCGATGCCGTGCTCGCGAGCGAGCTGGTTGAGGGTGAGGAAGACGTCGACGGGGTCGGTGTGCTCCTTGCCGGTGGAGGCGACCTTGACCTTGGAGGGGATGCCCTGCTGGAACTCGATGACGATGTTCTCGGGGGTGTCTGGGGCGGTCTCGGGGCTCTTCGTGAGCTTCCACATGTCGGCGGGCGGGGTGGTGTTGGGGTCCTCGAGGATTCCGGCCTCGTAGGAAATGTGGAAGAGGTTCTCGTCGGTGGACCAGGGCTTGGCCTTGGTCTGGGTGACGGGGATGCCCTTGGACTCTGCGTACTCGAGCAGCGCGGATCGGCCGGCGAAGCGGTTGAAGAACTCGGGAATGCGCCACGGGGCGATGACCTTGATGTCGGGCTTGAGGCCGTAGAAGGCGAGCTCGAAGCGGACCTGGTCGTTGCCCTTACCGGTGCAGCCGTGGGAGACGTACTGGCAGCCGGTCTTGTCGGCGGCCTCGATCATGCCGCGGGCGATGACGGGGCGGGCGAGCGAGGTGCCGAGCAGGTAGACGTCCTCGTAGATGGCGTTGGCCTGGACAGCGGGGAAGATGAGCTCCTCAATGAACTCGCGCTTGAGGTCGGCGAGGATGAAGTCCTTGGCGCCGCACTTGAGCGCCTTGGAGCGAGCGGCCTCGAAGTCCTCCTCCTGGCCGACGTCGGCCATGAAGGCGATGACGTCGTAGCCCTCATCGATGAGCCATGCGAGGATGGTGGACGTGTCTGTGTTGCGGTGCAACGCGAGGTGACGATGGCGACAGCATCAGCAGCGACGGAGACGACGACGACGACGACGGCGCAGTGACCACGACAGCGTTGGTGGAGAGACAGCGCGGTGGATTGCACGAGGGTGATCGGTGCGTCAACGTCCGCGAAGAGGCGTCAGAGGAGCCAAAAAAAATTCAATCCGAAATGGGGCCCAGGCGGAAAAAAAAATTCGAGTCACCCGATTGGAGGGCAGGGCGAATCAGGCCGAGGCGCGGGCGAAAACGCGAAGCGGAAAGGGCAACCATCGAAACAGCCAAATGGACAAGATACCAAAGGGGACGAGATGGAGTTGGGCGTCAGTGATGGCGTCCAACGCACAAGTCGGCGGCGATGCGCAGGGGCCAGCAGCGATGTGGAGCTGTCCAACATGGCCCGGATGCTGGGATTGCAGGCGGGGCAGGTTGACAGCTGGGGAGCGCTGCCGGAGTGGTACCCGGACTACTTACCGAGTCCACCAGAGTAGGCCAAAAGCACCTTTCCGGACTGTCCTGGCATGTTTGCGGTCTGATTCGAGCGTGCGGGTGGCGTGCTTGGAGTGCTGCTTGAGCTGGAAGGAGGCTGAGCTTGAGATGGTGACGAGAGGGTGCCCGTCTGGTGTAGTCTAGTGTGGATGATGGATGTAGCAAGAGGGGAAGAAGACCTGCCCAGCCCGCTCTGGCTGATAAGCGGTCTCGCCCGGGCCCAGCGCTCAAGCCCAGGCCCGAGCCAGAGGCTCAGGCCAAAGCGAGCGCGGATCCACTGACTCGGCCTCGCCACACCTTCTGGGCCGCCGCTCACAATTCCGTTCAATTACCCAGAGAGCCGCCGCATTCCGCTCTACGCGTCTGACTCGTTTCGCCCCGCCGACCAACCGCAGAGCGCAGAAAAAAAAGTTTCAAGAAGAACCGACCCTCGCCTGTCTACCCGCTGCTTCCGGCGCCATACCGCCCGCACCACCTCAGCGATGCACGCTCCGTGTCCGCCTCCTTGTCGACGCAAAGCCAAGTCAGGGTCCGTCTTCCTTGTCTCTTCCGTATGACTACGTTAGCGAAAAAACAGCCTGCTTTGACGGCAGCAAACGGGCAAAAAATGATTTCTGCCGG